TCACCCCCTCAAGAAAAGTAGGAAGATAATTTTCTTTGGCTACCAGCCAAAATGCCTAACCAAAATTCATCATGTTCAAGACATAAAGCAACAAATCTTTATTATTTCTGAAAAATATGTGATACAACAAAAATAGTCGACCTAAGGGGGAAAAAAAGAACAGCGAACTTCAATTTTATTCATTCTCACTGCATTGAAAAATGAAAATGGGTAGATTCTTATTGGAATAATAATACTCTACTTTTGAACAAGTACAATTTTAGATGGTTTGACCAGCTGATTTATAAATTCAATTTCTAAACCAATATCCTTTAAATTGTGAATAATATGAAATTCATGACTAAAAGGAAAGATTCTCACTCTAACTACATTGGATTAAAGTGCAGCATTTGTCAAAAAGTGAGTCATCAACAGAGAGGAGAAACACAGAGCCTACATTAAAAAAAAAAAATAAATCTTGTGCTCTGTGGTTTAAACCACTCTCTAGTCACAGAAGGCAGAATCCTATGCCTTTTTGAGTGATCTGATAATGGCTATTGTCATTAGTAAAATCAGTGTTCTGAACGAGCTGGATTTGGGATTTGATTCTTATGATAATTCCTAGTTTGTCTGTTTGCTTTTTTTTTTGCTTCCACATGTATGCAATTTTTTCTGCATGCAGCCAAGACCTATGCAGATAGACATTAAATGAGACAATTCAAAATACTCATTTTAATCCACAAAGAGAAGTTCAGAGCCCTACGGACAGAATATGAGTCTCTAATATGTATGACACCACTGTCATTTAGTGATTAAAACTGTACACTTATTCAAGGTTGCAGAATCTTCCTACCTGTCTTCCATGAAGATAGATAGGTGAATGGAGGGATGGGGACACAAAAGAGAGTGATCAATAAGAACTAGATTAACAAGATGCTGCTTTTAAATTCTTCAGGCATGTATACTTATATATTCATTCACACAACTGAAGTCACGAACCCAGGAAATTCTTATTACTCCCCATACCTTATTGCCAAAAGCTTTACTACCAACGTGTTCACTATAACCCTAACATTTCCACTTGATCTTTTTATCATTGCTGAGATTTGGTGCAAGGGAAGAGCTGAATATTGCCATGTATGACTGTGTGTTCAGATGAACAGAGATGTGACTTCTGTTTGCCTTTGGAAACTTAAATCACCTGAGAAGGCTTTATCTCTGAAAAGGTAAAATAGTTTTAGGGGGTTTATAAATGTGCCTGTGGCCAATTCATGGACTTGAAATGTACCTTTAGCACCATTTCACTGGACAGTATGTTTCTGACTTCAATTAGTGTTAGAATAGAAGGTTTGGACTTGAACACTCTCCATTTAAGCCTTACGTGATGTAACTGAAAAAGTGCACTGAAGCTTTTCCTCCATTAGTGAAGAGAACAAGTGGTGTTCCTTGTACTACACAGGAAATAAACCACATTCCTGTGGCACTCTCCACTCTCTTCATCTCAGAATAGATACAAGAGCGCCTAGAGACTGTGCCCATCGAAACTCTATCACAATGTAAGGCAAGATCATTTTATCTTTGATTTTTTTCTGATCTTGCTTGTTTTTTGACTTTTAGTTGGGTAAAGTGACATTTTAAGTGATGTGGTAGGTTTCCTTTCTTTCGGAAATAAATACTTTGAGGCTTACAAATGTATAATAATACTGTAAAGGAGTAAGGATTTTTAATATGCTACACATAAAGTTGAATTTAAGATTCCATTTCAGACTATTTATTCAAGTACATAAAATTACTCTTTTAATACAACTTCTTACAAAAATACTTTTTGTTTCATGTTCAGAAGAAAATCAGATACAGTGTTAGAGGGTTATAAGTTTTCAAAGTCTGTGGAAATAGGATGCTTTTTTCAGCCTTGAAGCTCAGCAGAAATACTTGCTACATGAAGTCTCAGATTCACTTCTTTACAAAGTGTCTTTTACTTCAATTCCTAAAGAATGCTCCAGAAATAATAATAATAAAAAGCAGCTAGCCCTGGTAGGCCTTAGGCACTCCTCAAGCCAAATAACCTGGACGGAGGAGATTAAAAGTGGTCGGTTATTAGGAAGTTCACAGGAAACAAGAATTGCTGAAATGAATGTAGCCCAAAGCACTGTTAAACTTTAATGCTTTATGTGTGCATACAGCCTAAGACAAGATTAAAACTCCTGAGACTGACTTTTAGGTAACCAGCACAGACAACCTAGCACAGCAGACTGTGGGTTCAAAGTCAGCTTTAGAAGCTGGGAAAATAGCTCTTTGCTGAGGTCAGCTGTGCCATGGGAACACAGCTATTAGTATTTCGCACAATCAGGTTAAAGCTGTCTTAGATACACCTAGACAAGTCATAATCAATTCTTTAGTATGTAATAAATAAACCATTAATCTGAAATACATCTCATAAGAGAGGAATAACATTATCTAACTTTAAATGATTCTATTGTTCAGCTTTGCATTTATATCAGCTACTTGATGTTGCCTTTGTAGTCAAGTCTAGACAAATAGGATATAATTAATCCAGATTATTTTAGAAGTCTGCTTTAGAATGAAGTGAATCACAACACTGAAAATGCCTGTTGCTTTCTATTTGCCAGGGAGCACATGAATTCTGGCTCACGTCCTCATCAGCTATGTCTGCATGTAGTTCAGTGACTCCCATCTACAATATCCAGCATCTGTGAACAGCCAGATGATAAAAGAGAGAAAACACAGAAGTAGTAAAATACAGACCATGACATATTTTTCATCTCTCGACATGACCAGGTATTTCAGGAATACATTTTGACATATACATTTTGCTTTTACTCCTGAAGAAGTATACAGGGAATATGCACCCAGATTTAATTACGATGCATTCTAACATAATTATCATTTACAATGTTATTTTTATATTTAGTTGAAAATTCAATGTCTCATCTGACCTAACCATCTTGATGTCCTCTTTGATCAAAAGAGACAAATAAGTGCATTTGGAAGTTACTCCCACAAATGTTAGACATTCCTTTAAAGGTCTCTGCCATCTGTACAGAGGCTAGTCAAATAACTCATATCAGTATATTACGCTATCATTTAGATAGCTATAATTATTTCTTCAATGTTTTTTGTGTTGGTTTTCTTGTTGTTGTTTGTTTGTTTGTTTGTTTTGTGGTTTTTTGGGTTTTTGTGTGTGTGTGTGTTGTTGTTGTTGCTGTTGTTGTTTTTCATTTGTTTTGGGGTGTTGGTGTTTGTTTGTAAGGTATTTTGTTTGGTTTTATTGGGGTTTTTTATAATATCTAGTTTTATCTTCTCAGAATAACAGAATCACTTAGGTTGGAAAAGAGCTCTAAAATCACTGAGTCCAACCTTTGACCAATCATCACCTCCCTGGGCAGTTTATTCCAATATTTAACATTCATTTCCATGAGGAAATTCCTCCTGACATCCAAACTGGACCTCTCCTTGTGCAGCTTGAGGCCGTTTCCTGCCATGCTGTCACTAGTTGCCTGGGAGAAGCCTCACTTGGCTAAAATCTCCTTTCAGGTGTTTGTAGAGAATGATAAGGTCTCCAACTTTTTGGGTTGGGACCATGCAACTTCCTTAAGCACACGGAGCGATAAAATTTTACTTGCTTACAGCATTCCTTCATGAGTTTTATAGCTTTATCAACCTTACTTATTTAAATATGTGGACTGTATAATGTACCTCTAAACCTTTTCTTTTCACTGTTGATTATATAAGAATTTGAGCTCTCACAATCCTTTAGAATAGTGTATTAGCACCTGGGCACTGAAAAAAAAGAGTATCTGATCATTAATGTTCCAATGTTCAAGTACCTAGGAAGCCTGTGGAGAACTCTGACTGTGCTCTTCTCGTTTTTCTTGAAGCTGATCACTGTCTATAGATGAAGAATAAAAAAGAAGCAGTTAACAGTTCAACATTAACAGTGTCAATGAGCATATAAATGCTTAAACTTTAGTGACTGTGAAGATCAAAGGACATTAAATAGGAAAAAAACAACCTATATCAAAGTTATAACCTTAAATATCCTATAAGAGTTCAACAGCAAGAAACCTAATGTCTGAAACATCTGAGTCAATCTATTTTTGGTGCTATACAAGATCTTTACAAATTACTATTCATGGTATTCATCAACACTGGGGTTTTTTTACATTAATTTTAGCTATAAGTATATTAATTACCAGTAGGCAATTACAAAGAACATAACTCTGCCTTAAAACATTATGCTTATGAGAAATAACCAGAAAGAATTGGAAAGTTTGCATAAAAAGAGTTTTCCTCAAACATGTGCCAAATATTTAGATAAATTAATTTATTCTGATGAAACTTCATTTGACTAGAAGGACCTGAAAGAAATACTGTAAAATATCAAAATATTCTCCTTTCATGTTTATGGAATGAAATATTTCTGTCTGAGAAATAGAAACTGTTACTTTAGGAATACATAATTTTTCTGGTTTATTTTAAACACTTACTTTAGAACCAGATGAGTAAAGCTTCAGAGAGACCTGCTTTTTGCCACTAATTACAGAAACATGACAAATGAAAGAGATGTATATGTTTCTGGTTGGCTAGGTTAATCACTCTCTTATTTTGGGTGTTCTAGGATACTAAGTTGGGGGGGCGGGTTATGTTACATTGAGAATCATAGAATCATAGAATCAACTGGGTTGGAAAAGACCTCTGAGATCATCAAGTTCAATCCTTGATCCAACACTGCCATGGTTACTAGACCATGGCACTAAGTGCCACATCCATTTCATCTTAAAAACCATCAGGGACAGTGAATCCACTACCTCCCTGGACAGCCCATTCCAATGTCTGATCACTCTCTCTGAAAAAGTTTTTTTCCTAATATTCAACCTAACCCTCCCCTGGCAGAGCTTAAGCCTGTGCCCTCTTGTCCTACTGCTGATTGCCTGGGAGAAAAGACCAACCCCACCTGGCTACAACCTCTTCTCACATAGTTCTAGAGATTGATGAGGTCACCCCTGAGCCTTCTCTTCTCCAGACTAAACAACCCCAGCTACCTCAGCCTCTCCTCACAGGACTTGTGCTCAAATCCCTTCATCAGCCTTGTTGCCTTTCTTTGGAACTTTTCCAACACCTCAATATCCTTCCTGAACTGAGGGGCCCAGAACTGGACACAGTACTCAAGGTGTGGCCTCACCAGTGCTGAGTACAACAGAAGAATCACTTCCCTGGTCCTGCTGGCCACACTGTTCCTGTGATTCCATGATTCTGTGAAAACCTTTCACAAAATGCAATGTCTAATTGTTGTGAGTTCATTGCTTTCCAGACATTGGTCCTGCATTCACTGAAATTCTTCAGGTTATATTGGGCTCCGTAGAATTGAAAGTGCTAAGTACAATATGATATGGAGCTTTCCACACTTGATTTTGGATTTTAATGTAGGAAGTCACTTAATCATGTATGAAATGAAAGAACCACCCACCAAGTCTCACTAAAGTTAACATTCCCACTTGCAAATATTGAGTTACACATAAGGGCTAAGGTTATGATCTTCACCTAAGATAAATCAGTGTGGCTGAAAAGAACTAGGCCAGTTCACTCATCTAACAATCTGCCAGCTTTTTTACTGAAGATACGAGCTCAACTTAATACATTTTACTTTGAGAATCATTCCATTCCTCTTTTCTAGGAATTAGTTAATACATTTGAAAGTTTTTGCTATTTTTTATTTATTTCAGTTAATTGTATTTTTTTTCAATTGTATTTTTTATTCACCCTTTGTACGTATAATATCCCATAATAAATGTTTACTTAAAAAAAATAAAAGAAGCATGTACATTGGCACTTTTCACAACATTCTCTTTGAGTGTTGTGCTTACTTGGTATATACAATGGGTAGATTGGATCTGATCCTAACACACAGCATGTGTCATTTAGGCCATAATGTAGGATTTTGACCTGGATAATCCTAACACATAGATGCAAGAGTATCATTAGATGGGAATTGATTTACCACTCAGCTGTTGGTTGTGCTTCCATGTCCACACCATCACTTCTCCTCCACCTTCTTTCCCAATGTGAAGTGAAAGGCATTATTATACCCACCTGATAGTTTAGTTAATAAAAGGTGCTAAGCTGAATCATTTGGTTTAGGATGGAAAGAGGAAAAAAATCACAAGCAGTACTGCTCTTGACGTACCAATTAACGTAGTTTGTCCCAGCCATATGTGCCATCTTTTTTTAAAACCCCAAGTCAAATAGGTTAGCTTAATAACTGTTCGTTACAGCTAGTTGATGGGAGTTTTGCATGGAGAGAAGAAGAAAGGTTCACCATCACCCCTCTTAGGTAGCAGGACAGGACCAAGAGCGTTATCTTTTACACTGTTGTGCTCTGACAGATCAGTTTTCCCTGATACTCGGTAGTTGCAGGACTTGAGGACCCAAATGAAAGTCTGGGTCAAGGACATTAAATATGTGAATGAACAGTGAACTTAAGTACAGATTCAGGCTTAAATACCTGATTGTTGTCTGTTAATGACAAATAAGAAGAAAATGGTAAACTAAAAATACCTCTCAGCAACTTTTTTTTGAGTATACTATTCAGATTGCAAATAACTTGCTCAGTTTATACTACAGGAGGGTAGATGGTTTGGCAAACTGCCAGACAATGGAGAAACGCTTTTCATTCATAAAGTTCTATCCTGATTTTTCCCCTCTGACTTTCCCTTAACTAGTGATCTTCAGACCATTGCTCCCAAACCAATTCCTCAAGTTGTTGCAGAAAATGTCTGAAAGTTATTTAGCGATATATTTCCAAATTCACTCATATGTTCCTACAGCCCAGAGAAATGTATGGGTATATTTGCATGAACAGTGAGAACAATAATCCAAAAACTAGAATGTCAGGAGAGAGAAAGTAAATCTCATGGAATTACTTTGATTTATTCTATGCCAAGAAGTGAAAAACAAACCTCACAGAACTGGAGCTAATTCAAACACGAGTTTCATTGCTACACGAAGCTGATGAATGTTGTTTTCTCTGTGTATCATGATTTATAGACAGTGAGCATATATACATTTTGAATGTTGAATTTACATTGTGGAAAAATAATCTTAAACTATCGTAGCTGGGAAAAGAAATAAAGTAAGGTTACAATCTGGCAAAATTACTGTGAAACAATAATGTCTATGTAATGTAGCAACCAGAAAGCAAAATCTGCAGTTTACTCTATGTACTACCAGATTTTAAGAGCACCTAGACAAAAATTTTCACACATGAGAGGGAGAAGGAAAGGGATTACTTTCAGTGCTCAGTGTTGACATCAAATACTTATCCTGCCTTTTACACATTGCCATCTTTCAGACTTGATTTTTCTCGCAGTTTTCATGACAGCAAGAATTTGTGCACATGCAATTCCATGGCACATTGAGCCATCAACAAGCCTTATTTTGATCGATTTACAAGAACTGATATTGCTATAGGAGCACTAAAGGCAGTGTGGAAGAGTTTAAATGAAAATTGTACTTCAGAAACCAGAAAAACTGCTCCCCAGTGTCCAGTATCTTTTATGAGCCTCCTCAAATAGGCAGTAGGACTGTTAACAGACCATGATGGCATAAGAAACATGTTGTATAATACAATTATTTTATGTTAAAGCAAGTATATAATTAATTTTATACACTGTTAATTGATAGTGCATTAGTTTTTATGGGAAATGGAAGTGATGAGAACAATTATATGCCATTCTGTTGTATGCTAACTTCTGCTAAGCACACAGGGAAACTCATAAATAAAAGCTCTCAATTACAGTAAAAGTGCCAATACATCTTTGGCAAAGGCTGTGAAATGTAAAATCTCTTTTCAGGTCATCTGCTTTTATCATATATAAGAAAAAAATCCTATGTTCATTCTGAAGTTCTTGAAATACTCTCATAGTTATCATAAATAACTAGTCTCTCAGTTTTGAGCTGGGAAAGAATATATTGTTAACAAGGTCGTGTGTTTAAAAGGAGGTCTTTGCGGTAAATCAGACTGGTATTACATATGGACAAAACCTTTTTAAAGTGGATTTTGTGACAGCAAGTCTCTTGAAACAGTCTATAGTCTAGTAAAATGATTGATTGATTGATTGATTGATTGATTTGAAACAACACCCTTTGAAGTACCAACTTGCCTTTCACATTTAAGTTTTAATAACCAAGTACAACCTTTATATAATAAGTGAAATAAATTAATATGTAGAAAAACATTCAAATTACAGCCAGCTGCTGTTATAGCTACATAAACCAATCTTGCAGCTCTTTAAAGGAAATCTTTTTAAAATATAGTCTGTGATCTCATGTCTTCTCTTTATTCAGGACTGCAAAAAGTTGGAGCACTAGGACATGAACTCTCCCTGGTTATGCAACAACTTGTCCTTATCTCAAGTTACCAGAATTTACATGTGTCCTTTCATGTGGTAGAATCTCTTCAGCTTAGCGTACTTGTTGATTTTACACACTATGATTGTTTTCGTTTAAATGTATGGGACGTAGGACTGCAGAAACTGAACACATTTTGCAGTTGAATACATTTAGCCTGCTCTCCCATAAAAAGTAGGAAAATGCTATGGTAGTCCTCTAAAACGCAAAGAAATTCAATAGAGAGAGGAGGAAAGCCTAAAGAAGGACTTTAAGTATAGCTTTGCCATGCAGAGGTGACGTATGATTCAGTCAGTCCTATCACTGCACTCCTGGCACCTTATTCAGAGATGGTTATGGGAAGACCCTCTTGCACTGCCTTGGCACTCACCATTGGAGATGTGTAAAAATCTAACATGAGAGAGAGAGTCAGAAAAAATTGTAAGTATGAATCTTTAACATATAATGCAGTAAATATAGTATTAATCAAGATCAGGACAAGATTATGACAAGAAGGCACGGGCTTAAGCTCTGCCAGGGGAGGTTTAGGTTGGATATTACAAAGAAGTTCTTTACAGAGAGAGTGATCAGGCATTGGAATGGCCTGCCCAGAGAGGTGGTGGATTCACTGTCCCTGGTGTTTTTTAAATTGAGGTTGGATGTGACACTGAGTGCCATGATCTAGTAATCACAGTGGGGTTGGATCAAGGGTTGGACTTGATGATCTCAGAGGTCTTTTCCAACCCAGTTAATTCTATGATTCTATGACTCTATGATTCCATGATCATCTAAACCTGAAAAAGCATTTGCTGGTTAACCTCTCCCTTCCCTTTCTTAGGGGCATGGATCTTTCCTTACTGTTACTTTACCATAAAATTTTCTTTCTTCACAAACTTACTTCCATTTCTGCCTGTCTCTTACACCGCAGTACTGTGTTTCATTATTGCGTTTCAGTGAAAAAGCCCTCTATTTCAGCTTTGTTATATTGAAAGCAGTAAAGGCTTGATAAGGCCTGTATTCAAGGGTAGTTGAGGTGTTCAAATTTGCACACTACAACCACGAGAATTACTTGGGAGGTGTTTTTTTCCCCTTATTTGTCTTCCTAATAAAAATATAGAGGCTGTTTTATAGGTTAAGGAAAAAGTAAGATGCCTTTTCTGGGGTGACATAGCAGCTAAACTGGGATTTTCAGGGTTACAGCTTCTGAGTTAAGCACTTCATATCAATCTTAGTGCCAGTTCACCAGTCTGATTTTTTTCTTTTTTAAATCTTGCCCTAGGAGAGATTATAATGTACAACTTTTGAGAAAGTTAGTGTAATTATTGATGGGCATAAATTGCTAATTTTCCCTGACATAATCTTGTTGCTCAACATCAAAGGCAGCAAATAAATGAAAAAGTTGAAAAAAAGAGATGAATGAGCATGTCACTGCATCAATCTTGTTTGCAGCCAACTGAGCTCCACACAGAAAGGAAAATTCATTTTAGGATTTGGCTTATGTAACTCATGTATTCACACAGATCCCACATAAGAACTTGCAATTTGCTGCTTCATCTGATTTGGAATTTTGGAAATGATAATATGTTCCTGACTCTTCCTGTCAGATCTTAATTGTATGGTTGTTAGAGAGATAAATGTTAATTATGAATGCTGTCTGTTGTCCTCGTTTCCCTCTTTCCCTCATCCTATTCTGATTAATCAAATTTTCAC